CTTCATCATCATCCGATCTCTGATCACCGTGACCATCCTGTGTAGTCGCATTAACATTAAAGCCATGTTGTCCAGACGCTCGTGTTACTTTGTCTTGCAATTTGTTGAGGTATTCTTCATTAGTTTCATCTATATCATCTTCATCCGATGATAAAACCTCTAAAAATCATTAAATTTGATTAGGTCATCACATATTATCATCATATATGCAATATATATACTATATATACTATATATGCAAAATTAACCTTCATCAATGTCACTTTCTTCTTCATCATTGTCATCATCTTCTTCATCCGTAACTTTAGCAGCATATGCTCTCTTCAAACCTTCGAACAGCAGGATTAAAGATGGAATAATTTGTGTTGCACATTCATTAACAGCGGCTGGTCTAGCAGGACCCATGCTGATTAATGTACACAGTCCAAGAACGCACAATTTACGATCGTGCAAGCTGTAGAGAGAAAAAACGCAATACACTTTTACAAATTGCAAAATTGAATATTGTATAAATCATTATAATTTATTTTTCAAATAAATTGAAACATCTTTATATGATAAAACGTATACCCTAAAAAGCAATCAGTGTCATTAATCCATTGCTTAATAAAACGCGAAGCAAGCGGTTCCGTCGATTGGTCGAAGTTTCCTTGCAATCTGTCCATTGTTTCCAAACACAATGCAGGATTGTAATATAAAGCGGCAATGACCACTTGAAGACACATTGTTCGCAATTCCGAAGTTTTAACTTCGCGCATTAGACGTTCCAAGACTAATTGCACGAGCGACGGTATACACTAAAATCAAATTGATTTATCCAGATCGCATTTAATAAATTTCATTAAATCATTTGCATGTAATTCTTAGATATTACGTAAAATTACCTGATCTATATGGCCTTTACATTGTAGAATTATAACTTCTAGTAACTTGGCAGCATGACATTCTGGATCTTCACCACCTTCACCAGTCAGAACCTATGATAAAAAAAATAGCATCTTGTTTAGCAAATAATAATAATGGACTAATAAATAATGGAGTAATAAAAAAAGAATTTTTTTTAATACTTACAGCTTTACACATGTTGAACATGGCAACAATGTGATTTTCATTCGACAAAAACGCCGGAGTATCGACTGTGATATAGTTATGCAGTGCAGGCATCATATCAGTAAAATAATCAAAACCATCTTTTTGGAAGAGTTGATACATAAGTTCTAAAACTTTCCACATGTCTTCTGATATACATTTACCCGTTAGGTCATAAACTAACGACAATGCTTCTTCGTAAAATTCTATTTAAAAAAAGAAAAACAAAATTAGACATAGAATTCATGAATTGAATTTTAAATTGCAAGTTTTATTATAATGAAATTTTTTTATTATTATTTTTATTATTATTAAATTGCAATTTTTATAGTACTTATCAATTGTCAATTAAATATCGATAAAAATTTGAGATGTTAAATAAGTCAATAGTAAAATATTGACTTATCAAGTAAAAAATCTGGATTCGATTCTATATCTTAAATTATTTTAAAAAATATTATTCTATTATTCTATCCTATTATAATATTAAAATAAATGTTAAATTTATATTTTCATAATTTAAAATAAATTGAAAATATAAATAAATCTAACATTTATAGAAAATTCGTTAAAAATCAGATTGAATAAATAGAAAAAAGAAAAGTAGTTTTGAACACAAATTCAGTAAAGCTTTATTAATATTAAGTTTTTTTATGAATACGATTAAAAATATTACATAAATATTAATATAAATTCATGTCAGATTCTTTTAAAACTATAGCGTTGCAATTCTAGATAAGACATTTATTATCAAAACAAAATAAAAATAATATAAATATAAAAAAGCATACCCATTACGCTTTGTGCAAAGATATGAGCTACTACTTGAAGGACAATCGGTTCGAGTTGCGTCATGATTTGAGGATGTCCTTCCATTACTGTTAGTAATGTTTCTATTGTGTTTAAGAGGCCCATTGCTGTTATTGCTTTCTCATCACTACCTTCATCTGTTTCGAGCACTTGGCTAAACGTAGTAGTCTGAATGAAAAATATATATAACATGACATAGTATAATTGCATTTACTTAACTCATAATAAACTTTTTTGCAACATCTCTATTAAACTTCTTACCAAATGTTGACAAACTTCTACAGCAATTGGAATCAATTGTTCAGTATATGTACAAACAATTTTCTGCATAACACTCGTTAAATCGTCATTTTCAGTTTGTCTTATAATAGTCAGCAATTCAAGTGTTACTTGTTTAATTAACGGTTCGATATATTTCTGAGACTTTGGCTGTGCTGAAAGCATCATTTGTAGTGCTATGGCCGCTTCGACTTTAACAGGCAAATCTTGATCTGATAGAAGAGCATGTGTAATTAATCTGACTGCCTCAACTAAAATTTGTTCCGATTTAAATTTGATTTCTGAGAAGTAATGCATCACCCAACAGGCCTAAAAGCATAATTAATAAGTACCATTGTATTGAATATTCACATCATTATCATTATTATGTAATGCAAGTGTTACGTAATAATGATAATGATACCAATATCTAATGCACTGGTTATCATTTTATTTACTCTTGCTCGCATATGACCATGAGGACTATTGAATTCTGGGAATACGTATTGCAATAACATCTTGTCCATTTGTTCTTTATACATCTTCTTTTTCAACAAGACATCAGCTAAGCTTCCAATCTGAATAAAATAATTTCACAGATTACATTAAGAATGTACAAAAAATTATATAGAATAATTACATAAAAAATTCAAGCAACAAATATTTTTCTGATTCACAAATGTACCATATGTAATGCACCATCCTTTTGTCTTGGGTCTGCATTTGGACTAGTTAAAACTTCGAGACAAAACTGCATTGTTTTCTGTAACATATCTTTTCGTTTCCTGCATGCCGAATGCAGCAAGGTTTGTGCTGCCGTTATTGGCGATACAAAATCTTCAAATATATCTGGAAACATTCTGATAAGTAAAACTTTACAAATTTTAGATCAATGTGTCTTAATGAATTCAAATTTACCAAATTTTACTCTAATATATTCATAAGGATCAGTATTCCACAGTTCCTCGTCAGCGGCAGAATATGAGAGAATAGGGAATAAAACATCACGTATAATTTCAAACATGTGAGGTTTCAAAAATTTCCAAGAAAATGCATGGCTCACGCTAGAATTTTGAAAAAAATATTATGATTATTGAACTTTTAATAAAATTTGCATTTATTTATAGAGATGAATTCTTACCCCTGATTAATGTAATTGATTGATTGCTGTATTACTCTAGGAGAGATATAAATTTTTCTACGATATTGATCCAAGATTTTTAGAAGAACTTCGAGAATACCAGCACTGAAGGTTTGCAAATACCATTCGGCGAATTCTTTATATTCTTTGGTCACGTTTCCTGGGCTACCATATCTAAAATTAAATCAATATCAAAATGTAAATATCTCTTCATTTTTATCAGTCTCAATATTTCAATTATTACTGACAATTTACCTTTCAAACATTCTGTGTAAAATATGCAACGCCCATTTTTTACATTTCCACCAAGGCAGTTCCGCACGTTCGTCATCATCAAGGTCTGGATTATTAGTTTCTGGAGGTACTGGTCTATCAGCTATTTGTCTTACTACATCCATCCACTGTGAGAACACTTCTCTCGAGATAAGGTCAAGGGGAAGAGTATACTGTATGGATAATTATGATTTTAGTGATTGATGATTGATGATTTTAGTATTAAGATTGAAGAAATTTTTCAATTAATATTATTTCCTTAAATCTATTATATATAATTTACTATCTTAACATACCTGTGTTAGAGCAAAGAAAATTTTCAATATCTGTTTCTGAAGAAGAACGGATTGCTCGGATGAATCCGGCAATAAGCGTAATATTAATTGATAGATCATAGGAAGTAACAGATTCATTGCTTCATTTAATGGTCCTCTCTCTTCTGCTTTCTTGTACCTAATTATTCATCAGAATATCATATTTTCTATGCAATAAAATGCCAGAAAAATAAGACTAAACGTACTCAAAATTTTTAACAAGTTGATGCAACGCGAGGAGAACACCAGGCCAACACAAAGCATCCGGATTTTGAAGGTATATCGTAATTTTATCCACTATTTGTGTCCATCTTCCAGGAAAGTCGTGTTTAACTATATTACTGATGCATACCGCTAATTGTACTCTAAACATACAATATAGGCAATATGCTACATTTTAACATATATATTTTATTATATATATTTTAATAAAAGTTGTATTGCAACTTGCCTAATTAATTCTGGGGCATGTACCACAGCATCTACTATGGCATCGCGTATCATTGCACGGTCCTGCTCATGAATACTAAATTCTATGGGCCCACTATCAACTTCTTTATCAGCCCAATCCGAAGTAATTAAATTTTTTAAATAAATTACACCTACAGACAACGAAATATTATGCCCTCATGATTTATGTTTTATCTTCAATATTACAGAAATCTTCAATTATAAAACAAATCAGAAAAGCAGATATTTACCTGCTTGTCTGACAGGCATATCAACTTCATTTGACATTACTACCTGCAAGAGTGTTGGTGCAAAACCAATAATTTTGTGAACCTGAAACATTTAGTTACAAACATTAAATGTATGTATATATAATATATCAACTTATTATGTATAATCATATAAAAATTATTTTTGCTTTGATATTACCATTATTTTATAAACTTATAACAACTTATAGAACACATAATATGTAGAAAATAGATAATTTCTATATCATATACATATATAAAATATACAGAAATATCAGTAATATTGATAGTAAAATTACAAAATATTAGGATAATTTCAACAAATTCAAGAACATATTTTATGATATAAACTCATTTTAAGAATAATGTTGCATATCAAAAGTCAAGACATTTAAATATTTTTTTTAAGATATTAATATTTTTTCGCTCTTCAGGCGAATTAAGAATATCTTTTGGGGGATTAAAGTACTTTCAACCCTTCCTTAGATTGTATGGTACAAGGTCCCTTATTCTGTTTAACGTCCCTTCGCGCGCGGAGAGAGAGGTTATACCACGAATAGCGCTGTCACTCGTCGAAACCGAGAATCGGGCAAAGTGCCGCACCCCACGTCGAGAATAAATCCGCCGCGGCTGTTATGGTACTGGACGGGAATCGGCGTCTATCGAGAGGAAGAGACGAACATCTTGTCCTCGGCATGGACGACGATGCACGCCGGCATTATCCTCGGCAAAGATATCAGTTTCGTCCACGTGCACGAAACGGACGAGGCCTGGGGATCTGAGGGCACGACGGCAGATACGAGGCCACATGTTTCTCGAGATATTCCGAAGTTCGTCCATCCCCTTCACCCCACCCCTTCCCCTTTCCACCATCCGCCGGGCGAAATCGCGCGAGCACGTTTTCTCTCGGGTCGAATCTCGCTCGCGTATTCCCTCGCCTACCTGGTTGAGCTGGCTCTCCGCCTCCTTTTGCTGCGCGGGGTCGATCGTCGCCCGCAGCAGGTCCGTGAGCTTTCGCGCGTCCATCGTTCCCGGCTGCCTCGTCTCGCCTGTGTTAATTAGACGCCTGAATTTTTGCAATCGGCTCTCCCAGCACCGGACTTGACCCGGCGCACATTCACCTTACTGCTGCTCCTTGCTGGCCTGCCTGCCCGTGCGGTCACGTGACACAACAACATGGCGGCGCGGATCAGCTTTGAATAGTCGCATCCGGTCGTGGGATATACAATTCACACGAGATGCGATCGCCAATGCACATTCGCCATTTTCAATCTATAAACATTTGCCCTAAGGATTCATCGCGGTAACTTTGATTAAATTCTGATTAACTTAATCGATCGTTAATTTAACCGGCAGAAACAGATTTTCTAATTGTAATTAATTTTCCTTAATTTCTTTGTTTCATTTCCTTTCTTCTTCATTTCGTTTTTATATGTTGAATGAAGAGAATTAATAATTCCATCCGTGTTAATAAAATGATATAAATAAGATGTAAATTAATTAAGCGCTTATGTATATTTTTAGAAATTTAGATTAATTTTAATTTCGATTTAATTTACCTTTTCTTTTTTTTAAAGATTGAAAAAAAAATGGAGTAAATAAAATCAAGATTGAAATTAATAGACATTGATAGAAATATACAGAAATCGATTTCAATCAAACTCTGATTATCTTAACAATTTTCATTATTTTTTTAGAATTATTCATATAAGGAAAAAGGATATTATTAGAAATAATTAAATTCTTTTAGTAATTCTTTTCTATTTCTATCAATAAATTAATTTATTTCGGCTTAATTTACTTTCCATCTTGTTTTAATTTCTAAGAATTAAAAAAAGATAAAGCGCAAATTAAATTGAAATTAATGAAGTGAAATAAACTGAAGTTAATTACAATTTGATTGAAATGATTTTAGTTATCTTCCACTTGTTTCCGTATTTATCGTGAAGTATGAATCATGAAATGTCTATTCAGACCCACGTTTACGATCTGCTCTTTGCAGTTGCATATTATACTTTCTGCACTTAAAATGAAATCGGTACATAATTAGAAAGAAAAAAGAAAAGAATGAAAAGTTTGATTGCGAAGAACGAGACTTTAAAAAATGACATTAGCAGTCCTGTGGTCGATTTCCAAATATTTTTAGCTTTCTAATAGATTCCTCTTTTCCAGTTGCAGTAGCTTAAATCTTTCGCGCTCAAACTAATTGTACAAATTCAAAGAAGAAAGAAGAAAGAGTGAACGAACGAGGAAAGAGACGAGGATTGAAAAGTAGATTGATAAAAAAATCTTCAATCGTTGCGAGGATAACCGTCGGCTCGAATTTCGGGACCAGTTTGTATGATTGTACATTTTTCGGGAGTGCAGAAAAATATCGGCGAAGGTCCGCCGGCACGGAATTAAGAACGTGCGAACGAGGGCAACCTGCGGGGAGCACCGCACCGCATGAGAATCCGCCCAGTGTCGTGCTGCCGCACAGCAATGCACCGACAAACTAAATAATCGACGTCAAAAGCTGTCAAATATGGCGAGGGGCAGCGAGAGAGAGAGCGGTAATTGACATGTAAAAATGTGAATGGCTCCACCGCGGCCCGCACTGTGATCTGCGCTTCGATCGGGTGGGTGGGTCGCGCTGCCGACGCTGCCGGAGCGGTGTCACGCGCTGATCGGGCTACAAGGACGACGTACGACACGACACGAGACGACACGACGACGAGGACGACGGCGACGATGTCGCCGGCGCCCGCCGAGTGCCGGAAGTGAGGCGCGCGCGAGGGTGGCCGGGGACCGAGGGAGGGGGATCGGGAAACCCGCGACCACACAAGAGCTGCGGTAGGTTCCGCGTGCAGAGCCAGGTCGAGGGGTATTCACGATTAGAGGGGTATGGTACGGCGGTAATCGGCGGTCAACGCTATGGGCGCTCAGCAGACCAAGGATAGGGTGATCCCCGCCGGTTCCACCGTGCGGCAGACGCGCAAGCAACCCAGGAACCTGAAGGATACACGGATCATAGGCTCTAACATATTCACCGAGCACAGCGGTGAGAATACGCATATTACTTGGTTACGTTCCTTGTATCACTTGATTCGAGTACTTCTAGCGTGTGCCACTACATCTTGGCATGATAGTTCTACTACTCAGGGTGAAACTGGCATGCTTCTCTCATGACTGGCTAGTGCTTCTCTGACTTGATACAGCATGACTTGAGACTTTTACAAACTAATACCGAAATGAGAAAGTAATATTTAAAAAAAGATCTCATGATGTTTTTAGCACATAGTCAATGTGAATTAATGTCCATATTGCCACGCATGTTGCTTGATGAATATGGACATTAGCCAAATAAGGAGTTTATAATATAATATGTATGTCTATCTGTGTATATCATGGAAAAAAAAGATACAAACTAAAAATTATGTGAAACTTCATTTAGATGTGACTAAGTTAATCATCTTCATTGTATGTTAAGTATCTTGAATATAAATTATGAGATCTTCCTCATGTTATTACATAGATAATTATTCTGAGTTTGCTGTTATTGCAAGTCTTTCAATATATTGAAGGTTATAAAGAAAAATGTTTTTTATTCTTTTTTTGCAGAGGCGCTTTTGCAAAGTAGACCTCTACCTCACATTCCAGCATTGCCAGAAGGTGATCCTCCAAGTGGTTCTAGTATTCAATCAATTTCACAACAAGCGAATGTTCAACATGCCAGTGTATCCGCTAGTGGACTCCTGGAAGCAGCAAATAGGTCAGTTTACTGTTTAAAGTCTGAAGTAACATATGTCATACTTACATAATAGATAGTCTTTGTATTCTTACAAAGTCAGATTATAAAAAAGTTTTTATAAATGTATATTTTTTAAACATAACATGAAAATTTTTGTTAGGTTATCATTTTTATACTTTTTTTTATATATACTTTCTATGAATTTAGAATCTTGCAGTTGCCTTGATTGTTACATATTTGCTATCTTTAATAATTGTAATCTTTAAACAATTCTCTATCTCTAACATAAAATCTAGTAGTTCTAGAAATAATATTTTTGTTTTATGCAGATGGACTAGCAAAGAAAATCTTTTAACACAACAAGAGGAAGATGATCCTCAATTATTTGTCGCCTTGTATGATTTTCAAGCTGGTGGGGAGAATCAACTTAGTCTGAAAAAAGGTATTCATTTTTTATTAAATATTATATAATGTATTTTGTCCAATATTTTAGATATTTACCGACCATTTATAAATATTATATAACTTAAATGTTAATTTTTAATTTTTTTGAATAGGTGAACAAGTTCGTATCCTAAGTTATAATAAAAGTGGAGAATGGTGCGAAGCTCACTCGAGCACCGGGCAAGTAGGATGGGTACCATCGAATTATGTGACACCCGTAAATTCATTAGAAAAACATTCTTGGTACCATGGAAGGATATCTAGGAATGCTGCAGAATATCTACTGAGTTCGGGAATAAACGGTAGTTTTCTCGTGCGGGAATCAGAAAGTAGTCCCGGTCAACGTAGCATCTCTTTAAGATATGAGGGACGGGTATATCACTACAGAATCAATGAGGATAGCGAATCGAAAATGTTTGTTACAACAGAGAGTAAATTCAATACATTGGCGGAACTAGTGCATCATCATTCAATGCTTGCTGACGGCCTTATCACGCAACTGCTCTATCCTGCACCAAAGCATAACAAGCCTACCGTCTTTCCGTTAAGTCCAGAGCCGGATGAATGGGAAATCAACAGGACGGACATAGTAATGAGGCATAAATTAGGAGGTGGCCAATATGGTGATGTGTATGAAGCAGTCTGGAAGAGATACAATATGACTGTAGCGGTTAAAACGCTGAAAGAGGATACGATGGCACTGAAAGACTTTCTAGAAGAAGCGGCCATTATGAAGGAGATGAAACACAGAAATCTGGTACAATTGTTGGGAGTGTGTACGCGCGAACCACCCTTTTATATCATCACGGAATTTATGAGTAAGGGAAATCTCTTAGATTACTTGCGGAACGAGAATAAGCATCAAATCAATGCCGTGGTTCTGATGCATATGGCTACACAAATCGCAAGTGGCATGAGTTATTTAGAAAGCAGAAACTTTATTCATCGCGACCTGGCAGCCAGGAATTGCCTAGTTGGTGAGAATCATCTTGTCAAGGTTGCGGATTTCGGTCTAGCCCGTCTTATGAGAGACGACACGTATACAGCTCATGCCGGTGCAAAATTTCCTATAAAATGGACTGCGCCAGAAGGTCTAGCGTACAATAAATTTTCTACAAAGGTACAAATATCATTAAAAAGTAGTATAATTACTATGTTTTCGAATTATAAATACTGATTGATGATTTTTATAGTCTGATGTCTGGGCATTTGGTATCTTGCTGTGGGAGATTGCTACCTATGGAATGTCCCCTTATCCCGGTGTCGATCTGACTGACGTTTATCACATGTTGGAAAAAGGCTATCGAATGGAGTGTCCACCTGGTTGCCCACCGAAAGTTTATGATCTAATGCGTCAGTGCTGGCAATGGTCAGCGGCAGATCGACCAACTTTCAAGGAAATACACCATTCGTTAGAAAATATGTTTCAAGAATCAAGTATTACCGAAGGTAAATAGATTATTTCAGATAATTAATTTTGCATAAAGAATTGTGCGTTCTTATTGATTTATACATGTTCCAGAGGTAGAAAAGCAACTGCAAGGTGGAGGAGAGATTCCTTTACTAACATACAAAAAATCACAGACTGGAAGTACAGGAAATATACACGGGCTTGTTCTTGTATCTGAGCAATTACCTTCTTCCGGTATCACGCAAGGTAATAATTAATGTTAGATATTGACTAATGATTTAACCGTTGTATAACATGCCATATGATTAACATTAAATAGAAGGTATAAACTATAACTATAATCTTTGTCATATGATGAAAATGATGAAAAAAATTATTGAAACTTTTTTAATTTAATATGAATTCCAGAGAATATCGTGGTATAATTTTATATAATATTCATTTGCTTGAAGGAAATTATTTACACACACACACACACGCGCGCGCGCGCGCGCGCACACACACACACACACACACACACAATGTCATATTTTATATTATAAAATTATGTGATACAGTGTAATTTATCGAATAAAAATATTTTACATATATTTTACAATATATTTTACATAGAAGGAGCCAGTTCAGTTGCCAAGCTGAGTACTTTTATGGGTGGTTTATCAAGTAGGAGTAATAGCAATATGGTTCAAATGCGAAGATCTACTAATAAAAAGGGAAAGCAAGCACCAGCACCTCCCAAGCGAACAAGGTATATTATCCTTTTATCTATAAATCCTGAGCACCATTATTCAGTATATAATAAAATTATGTGTCTTTTGTGACACAGCTTGCTATCATCGTGCAGTTCTTTTCGTGATTCTGCTTACCAAGAACAAGACCAGCAAAATGTCGAAGTGAGCACTATGACGATTGATGATGGCACAGATCTAAATGGTATTGATAAGATTTTTGAAGGTATTTCATTATATCAAATCAAGTGTAATGACGAATGCACGAATGCTGCTTCCATTTGATTTCTTTTATTAACTTTCAGTTGATTTTAAGTTTAATTTTGACATGCATTTTCGCCTACAGTGATTTACAGCTTCATGAATGTGGGTCATTCTCCTCGAGTCAGTATGTATACTTGTATGTTGAATAAACGCCGAATACTAATTTCCGGTATATATAATAGTACTTGGATATATTTTATTAATGCATACTTTCGAGTGTCTGCATCTCGTACATACTGTAAATTGTAGCTACAATTTTTCGTTCCCATTTATACGAATAGGAGACGATACGTTACATATGTTATCTTTATCATACTGAGTTACAAACCCAACAAGTTCCATATATACTCATGCATGATATTCGTTTATGCAGAGATAGTAGAACTTTATTTTCTTTTTCCTTTGGTTTTAGATTCCTAGATATGTATCATATTTTTATTTTTTTCATTTAATCTTATTCTAAAGATTGGAAGATTCGCCTGCGCAACGGCATTAGTTATCATTTCGTCGATTTTGTCATCTTATATTGTAAAACTCAACTGTGTTCAAGCAGTGTTACGTGAGTTTACTAAGCTTTTATTCATACATATATCATAACGAATCATTTAGCAAGTTAAAACCGACATACGTCATAATACTGTTTCTCATTTTCATTGATCGTTCATTGTCAACGACGTCATGACATTCTTAGCTAACAATACAGGATTACAATGATTAAGGATCTGCTGTTAATTGAATGTCGATTAAAGGAGAATGACCCTAGGATGAATGGAGTAAAGTATGACGAGAAGGAAAAGCAGAAATTAAGATTAATAGGCGCCGCAAATATTCTTTTCTTAGCTTTCCTCCAGAAATGTCTCTAACGCGTTGCGCTTACATGCTGGAGAGATATGTTAGCTATAGATTGTATACAGTACACTTTATTAAATGGCGACTCAGGTATCACACGTGATCTCGTGACAATGGCTACACAGTCAATTACTACAGGAGGTTGCGATATGGACGACGATGGAGATGGGTCGCAAGGGACAGCAGAACATAACTTTATTCCTCAACCGTCAACCTCGCCGGAACCAGTATCCAACTTACCATGCAATCAGAAACAAATTAAATCTCGACCTTACACATCTAAGGAAGTACTGCCTCAGAAGGTACAATGATCTTACGTTGAGCGGCCACAATTTCAAAGTTATATCAATACTAGACACATGAACCTTTTTTCCTCGTGTGACGTTAGATATTAGCAGAAATCAAATACAGTAATGATTTCTATATGCCTATGTTGAATTTCAAAATAAAGTCCATTTCGATGGTAAATACATTTAGCACTGCTTGAATAACTTGCGATGTTTGATCCGAAGGCACGATCTCGCGATTTAAAGTGAAAATAAATATTTCAGCTGGTACATGTGGGTGCGCTGGAGGTGCAAAATGTTAAGAGGGCGATCAATCGATACGGTACCTTGCCGAAAGGAGCCAGAATAGGGGCATACTTGGAGTCCTTACGCCAAAGCGGCATGCCGCCGAATCAGGAGAACGCCACCGCAGCTTCTCTATCCAACGCAGTCATGGAACAGCAGCAGCAAGATATCATCACCTCGAGCGTCATCGACGCGATCCCTCAGCATCGTTCCCTCTCACCTCGTCAGAATAATCTTCGCAGTCAACCGCAGATGACGCGCAGCAACTCCTCGAGTGGAGTAGTGAACACCTATCAACCACCGAACTCACCACGCAGTCGTGCTGTAGGTGTTCGGAAGACTAACACAGAGGGGATCGGCCTGCGGACTTTCCGAGCGCCAAACAATACTAGTTTCCGCACCGCCAGTCCATCAAGATCAATTCAACCTACTTTGGCTGATTTGGAGTTTCCGCCACCTCCAGTGGATTTGCCGCCACCTCCGGATGAAGCTTTTGGTGATCACTGTGACTTGCCACCACCTGTGGCGACAGCGTTACCATGCACCGAAATGTATTCTCATACGAAGATCGCAAGCTCACCAGTTGGTCTCAGGAAGGTGAAAGCGGAATGGCGGAGCAAAGATGAAGTCAGCGATCACGATCAGGATGATAAGAATAACGATGTGAGAAATGCGGAACCGTCGGTGAAGGAGGCTAGCTCGCGATTCGGCGTGAATCTGCGACGCCGGGAAACGACTACTTCCGTTTCCAGCGACGCGCACTGCGGCGGTGGCGGCAGCGTTGGTAAATCTATAGAAGAAAAGAAATTAATTTATAGGCCAAAGGAGACAACGAGCGGCGGCGCGATTAAAACGGAATCATTAAATGCAACGATCGCGGCCCCTGAGGAAGCTCCACCGCCGCCCCCGCCGCCGCCACCACCCATCGATAGTGCCGTAAGCGGTACCGGTACCACCGATACTTTTGAGTCCAAACCTGGCATGAAAGAGATGCTGGAGCTCAAGTTGATCAATGAGATCAAACAGAGCGCGGACATGAAGCACGGTGGTAGCGGTCCCGCGAAAAAGAGTGGCAGTGTTGCTAATAGCAGCGCACCTTTATCGGCGGCGCCGCTTGACCCGGCGTCGCAGCTCCTATCCGAGTTGTGCGCCAGTTTCAGCATGGACCCCGCCAGTAAACAGCATATCGTCCCGAGCGAGTACGCGATCTCGGTATTGAAGAGCAACGACGTGTCCAGCGTTCAGGAACACGTTCACACGAGTGTGCAAAATGTACATCCTGAAAGGAACAGCAATTACAAGGAGATCCCAATGACCTCACCGATTACCGAGGGCCACGTACTGAGTGCCACTAGCGTAGGTTTCAAATTGAAAAAGGTAGATAAAAGAAATAATCCACAGAAAGAGGAAAATCCGGACGGTCAGATAATCGATTTCAAGGCACGGCTGCGGAAGGTAGATAATGCCGATAAGGAGAAGGTTACGGCAGATGAGAAGAGCAAATCGTCGCGTTTCGATGACAGCACACAGGGGAGCAACGTCGCGGATTCAGCCGATTCATCATCCGGCGTGGATGACGCGAATGATGACAAGCGTCGCAGTACTGGTAGTATTAGTAGCCTAAAGAAATTGTGGGAGAATAAAGAGGCTTCTTGTGATAACCAACCACTTAGTCCTAAATTAAATGTTAGAGGGACGAGTAACAAGCAAGACGTCGGCGACGTTGCGAGTGAGGATTCACCAGAGGATCACAGCGGTGCTTCGACTAGGAGCTCAACCAGCAAGGGCGATCCGCGAATATGGCCTCCAACTTCATCGTCTTCGGTAACCTTGGAAATGGAAAAACCGATTGTACCGGCCAAACCGCTGAAGCCGCTCGGATCTTCTAGCAAACATTTCGGTTCCTCGATATATGCTACACCAAACTGCAATAAATCATCGTCGCAGAATGACGATGACAGCGGCAAACAGACTAGCGGCGAATCAACGAAAGGGGCGAAGCACAGCGTGATGGAGATCTCGAATGTCATAGAAAACAGTATTCTGAATCTAAAGGGCAGTCCGACCATCGTCATGGCCAGCTGGCTACAGTTGTCCGACAAGGTCGGTTTGCTACACGGCATGTGCGTCAATCTAACAGACACGGCAATCGCGCCGCACGCAAGATTCCAATTCCGCGATCTGCTCACCCGACTCGAGCTGCAGGCGAGGCAGTTACGGGCGGCCGGCACGCGCAACATCACCGAGAATACGAGACTCTTGTGTGACGTACAGAACACGATAAAGGACGTGATAAACACAGTGCAGAGATAAAGTTGCGGCGAGTTGGCTGGAAAAAAAATCCAAAATGAGCATCTCTCCTTGCGAGTCTCTTACGCTCCTTCGTCCTTCTCTTGTGATGTTTCCCGCAAAAGTACGTCATTTTTTCTATGTCCCTTCTCTCTCTCTCTCTCTCTCTCTTTCTATCTATCTATCTATCTATCTATCTCTATCTCTCTATCTCATCACATCCGCATATGGGGACATATAATATACATAAATCTATATAAATATATATATCTAAGTCATTAAGTAAGGTTTTATCAAGAAATGAAATCTTTTTTGAAAACAGTAGTTAATCTACGAGCGAATATGATGAATGAATTAATGTGAATAAGTCTAATCGATGATATGACTTCACTGCATGATCGTTAAAGGAATTAATCCAAAGTTGCATGATTGCCGGTATATACTTCTCGACGCGCAATCGCCACATAGGAGTGAAACACATAAACACGACTCGGATGGAATCCATATGCAAAACTCTAAGTTCGTATACGTTTATATCTTCGCCTGTATACCATCTTTGTGTCTTTTTTTTTGGAAGATCTTTGTAAAGAACGATCGCGTGTAATTCATGGGCCTGGCTAAATCATACGGCCTTACGAGGAGAAAAAGTATACATCACTGCATGATTGAATTTTTATGTCGAGACGTACGACGATTTTCATACGATAGTAAATGTGATGATTATAGTTACTGTATGGAAATAACGCAAATTCTCAGTAGTATATAATCGGCGTATTGGCAAGAACAGGAGAGCATATTAAGTGCGAAGACACGAGTCGTCGCGGACGCGGAAATGTCGCTAACTCTATATCCTCGAGTCGCTTACCGCGTATATAAATCGTTTCGTTTTACATGTAATTTTATACACACCGTGCTTAGTATATATAAATATATATACATATATTATTATACGCGAGATTTTTAGACTAGACTATATAAATACGGACACTAAGCGTAAGACGTTTCATGTGTACTGTGGGACAATATAAACGATTTTGTATTTGTATAGAATAAGTTGAATATAACAGCTATACGCGATAACCGATTATGCCTACACGTAAAATATATTCAGACAACCAAGCCACAAAATCGAATGTAATTAATCAAACAATTTTTAAATGTTGTGTGCTTCGTTCTTATCCATGATGGTATGGTTCTTCCAAAAAGCACAATAGCGGAAATATTTGCCTGAAGACATCCAGTGGGCCGTGAATGATATAATAACGTAATTTAAATGGGAAGAGCATCTTAAATTGATCGTAGACGTCGAATGAAACGGGAGTTAGAACAAAGTAACGGACAAATAATATATGATATGTATTGTCTGTGTCTCTGTACAGTATTCTCTATATTATGCAATGAAGAATTTTAAATATCATGCATTTGTTACTCGCACTTATTCTTTCGTATTATCATTCATATCGTATACGTTTACATTTCATTTATAGATACTATAAAAAAAAGAAGGAAACGAGTAAGCTTTAATAAATATTATATATCGCGTTAAATTTCTGTTGTTTAATAATGATGTAATGTTACAAAGTTCCACGCGAATGCTTGTTAGCATATGCATTTTTGAGGAAAACAAGTAAGCTAAGTTTTGTAGTTTGTAATACATCGACTGTAAAACTATTATCTTGATAGTGCACCCGATAGTAGACTTTATGGAAGTTTTCAGGCTTATACTTCTTTCGGCTTGTGCTCGATACTAAAGGAGAATGCAATAGATATACAGGAAATAAGTCACCGATGAACTATTTCTTATGACACTGCCTATATGTTACAGCTAATAGTATATATATATATTGTATATATAGTATAATATATATATATATATATATATATATATATATATATATAATATATATATATATATATATATATATATATATATATATATATATATATATATATATATATATAATAGTATAACTTTGATATAGAGTGACTTTTTAGAAACGTAAAACAAAAATGAAAATGCATAAATCCTTTGCCAAAAATTTTGCCAATTTGATATTCTTTTCGTCTAAAAAAAATCCACTTTATCTCTCAATCATATTTTGAAATTTTTTCCCTTTTTCTTTCAATTTTTCCAATTATACAATTTTTATTTTAGCTATACGATACACTTTCATTTTTCCGAGAACGCAATGTCGACCATGTGCATGCTCGGTGCATGCACCGGTCGACAAATTTACAGCATTTCGCGCATATGTACTCGAGCGAGTTTACATCGCTGGCATCGTCGTTTATTCAAATACGAGCGTGCACGTCCATCATTTCGGTGACTGAATTTCCGTCCCTTTTGGTGAGCCATGCCGTTACAGGATCGTCTGTGTTATGTGCCTGTTATGTGTCTCGACGGAAATTCATTTTCCATTTCGAAACGTCGCCGTTGACCTTTATGGTGAACCTTGAAGCAGTAGCAAAGTAACAGCACTCGCGAGAAGTAGATTAATCAATGTAACGCGCGCCTTTGTGCCGCTGCATGAGAGTCGATGTTATAAAGCACTCGAGAGCGTTACGAGTGAAGAGAGAGGAGAGCAGTTAATACTCTTAAAAATTGATTATACGCTATTTTTATAACACAGTTATATAACACGGTTAAATATAATGTATATGTATGTATGTATGTATGTATATAAAGGATCAAATATAGAGATAAATAATAATATGTGAGCAGCGTTAATTAAATTTAATGATTAAATAAAAACATAGTAAATAAACAAATATGTACATGAAAGATGTATAATCGAAAAATGTGTCAATTAATGAAAGTTTCGTTAAATTTGATATTATGATACACGAAATGAATTAGAAATATAAATTAATATCATGTTTCAAGTTTAAAAAAATGGTGCAATATTAAACAACTTTAGATTAGATTTCAGGTTAAATTTCAAATTAGACAAGAAGATATATCTATTGAGAAGATATATATATAGAAATTCCAAATTATTAGGTCAAACTCTATTTTTTTGATATTTTGAGTTATGGAATGTGTGAACCAATTTTAAAAATATGAACTAATTTCGAAATTACGTTTATTTCCAAAAGAATTATTTAAATGACTATCTGAGATTATCGATTAGTTTACAATTTATATTCCTTTTTCACTGAAATCTTTTTAAAGCCTGCGGCCTTAAATTTTTCCGTCTTGCGGTTGAAATCCGGAGTCACGTTCGTGGAAAAGTTCAGCGCAGACAGCTTAGGGGTTGTAAATGTTTAGGGGTGCAGCCGTCGTGGCTGAAAATTTCAAATCCCTTATCGTACATTTTGCTCGATTTCTCGAGCAGCAACCGAGAGCTTTCTTCGGTTTCTTGTGAAGAAGGATTTAATGGCGAGATTGAGGTTTCAGGCACATCTCGGTATCGTTAACCTTCTATCTATTTATTTTTTCTAAGATGTATGAAAGTACAATTTATTATGCATTCTATTGTTTGAATAATCTCATCAGAGTTAATTTTTTTATGAATATCTTCTTTTTCTTTTAATATAGATTAATATTTTCTTCAGTGACTTTACTAATTTTTGAAGAATTCAATTTATAGTTATTTAATAATTAGTTTTTTAATAAAGTTTAATGCAAGTTATAATAATTTTAACTTAACGATTATATCAACTTGTAAATCTTGTTTCTTTTCTTTGTAAAATAATATCTTGATGTTTTTAAGGCTCTTTCATTTAACTAGCTTTTTAATGATTTAAAATAGTATAAATAGATAATGATTTAAGATAGTACAATAAATTGTAAAATAAATTGTAAATTGCGGATTTGGGAATAAAATTTAATTTGTAAAACATGTAAAGAGACTAATGTATGAATTAAAAAATTTCCAGATGAATAGCAGCGCTTAAAACAGATTTATCTCCGTCGACTGATTAATTTTCTTTCTAGATTGTGTTAATTTTTCGTACGTGCGGATTAATCGATTTTTCACAACTTGCTAGTGGAGGTAAGAGTGCAATGCGTTCGCGACAGGCTTTTCTTCATCGAGCCGAGAGAGATTAATATCGCTCTTCTTGTGCTCTAGATGACGGCAGAAGCGACTTTATTCGTTCACAACGCCTCGCGTTTTAAACGACGAGATGATTTTATTCCGTCCTAATGATAAATAATGGTATACTTTATATTGTCGTCGCGAAATTGTGTAATTTATTTCCGCCTTTTGCATGCCTATCGCAGTATGTATGCGTCGATTATAACAGCTTCTGTGCAAATTGCAAAATATTATTGCACTTTGAGCGACTTTTAAATCTAGTCAGCGATATGCATCGTTGCATATTAGATAACGCATACGAATATGCGTTGCGGTCTTGTAATTAGAACGTAATTAGAATGGCGTAACCAATAATTGTGATAGTGGGTGATTAACCCTTCATTTACGTATTATATCGTATAAGTTATGTATATAGAAAATTTTACATTTTACTGACACATCAATAATTTGTTTTACATATCAACAAATTTAAATTTTAAAATATTATGGTAAAAATTAATGATATATATATATATATATATATATATATATATATATATATATATATATATAATAATAACTACTA